CCTAAGTTTTGGGTGAGTTTGTACTGGACTTAAAGGGCTGCTTCCCCTCCATTTCATCCAGAAAATTCTCTTAAAGTTTAACAGGTATCCCTGGAGTTTCTCACTCATCTTGGGGGAGGTGATTTGGTCTGGGAGAAGGAGCCCAGGACTGGTAGAGTTCTAGTCCCAGTTCCTCTTCACACTAATGGTACACCCTTAAAGGGGCCCGTTTCCATATCTGTTCAGTGGGTATACCGGCCCCAATCCTGTTGTTCTGATAGTTTTTAGGAAGATAGAATTGGATTGTGGTTGTGGAAGTCTTTTTAAACTGTAGTGCACTCTGCAGATGGAAGGGATTTGGTTATGCTGTTAATTAGCGCATAAGCTGTGGCAGCTCTTGCTCTTGCAGAACAGCCACTTCCTTTAAAGCCAGACAGAGCATCTCCCCTGCAGTGCCCAAAGCTGGAGGCATGAAGTGGGAGGTCCCTTATCTCTGCTCAGGCCACTTTCTCTCACTAACCTGGATTTCCTGGCACACATAATGGGGCTAGCAATTGTTAGTAAAATAGGGAGTCATTTCTCTCTTGTTTGCAATAAGGTCAGAGAGATCTGGAATGAGTCCCAGGGATTTTGATAAGCCTCAGTAGTTCTGACAAAGGTGGGTCCTGGGCCACACTTGGAATATTCTGGCATGATCTGATGGCACCTGCTTGACAAAGGAAATTCTGTAATCACATTCCTGACTTCCCTCGCCCGTATCTCAGAAGGTTTATGACCTTTCCCAGTTAACTACAGAGTACTATTTGGCCAAGTCTGTGGCTCTGGCTTTGTGGAATGTTCATTTGAAGGGTGACCACAACAAAAAACCTTTTGCCTTACACCTTGGGGGGAAAAAAGAAAAGAAAAGCCCTCCTCAGGCCGGGCACGGTGGCTCACGTCTGTAATCCTAGCACTCTGGGAGGCCGAGGCGGGCAGATTGTTTGAGCTCAGGAGTTCGAGACCAGCCTGAGCAAGAGCGAGACCCCGTCTCTACTAAAAATAGAAAGAAATTAATTGGACAGCTAAAAATATATAGAAAAAATTAGCCGGGCATGGTGGCGCATGCCTGTAGTCCCAGCTACCCAGGAGACTGAGGCAGGAGGATCGCTCAAACCCAGGAGTTTGAGGTTGCTGTGAGCTAGGCTGACGCCACAGCACTCTAGCCTGGGCAACAGAGTGAGACTCTGTGTCAAAAAAAAAAAAAAAGAAAAGCCTTCCTCGTTAAGTCAGGGAAAAGCCAAAGAGAAAGAGAACATAAAACCATCCTTTGACCCCTGGATGCTCTGGCACTAATCACATTGTTCTTGCATTTCTATGATTCTGCTTATGTGGGAGGCTGTTTATTTTGTTTTATTGTATTTTGTAAATCAGTGGTTCCCCCACCGTTTTGGCACCAGGGACCAGTTTCATGGAAGACAGTTTTTCCACGGTTAGAGTGGGGTTTGGGGGATGGTTTCACTATGATTCAAGTGCATTACATTTATTGTGCCCTTTATTCGTAATTATTATTACATTGTAATATATAATGAAATAATTATACAACTCACCATAATGCAGAATCAGAGCCATGGGCTTGTTTTCCTGCAACTAGACAGTCCTATCTAGGTGATGGGAGACAGTGACTGATCTGAGGAGGTGGAGCTCAGGCGGTGATGCGAGTGATGGGGAGCAGCTGTAAATACAGATGAAGCTTCACTCACTAGCCCACCGCTCACCTCCTGCTGTGCAGCCTGGTTCCTAACAAGCCATGGACTGGTACCGGTCCGAGGCCCCGAGCTTAGGGACTGCAGTCATTAATCATGAAGTAAGCTATTTAAAAAATAATGGCAGCCAAGATAAAAGCACCAGTGGTTTAACACTCTGACCCAGTTCTGAGATGTTCTTGCTTTGACAGAGGGAGTAGAGGATCTCCCCCTCTACTGGCAGCCAACCCATTGGCCTGTGTTTCCACGGTAGCCCCATGTGGGCCACAGCTGAGTTCTTCTCCACAAATGAGAAGACTCTACCAAAGCATTGTCTGGAGTCAGCCTATCAGACTCCAAAGTATGAAATTCTTTGGAATGCACTTTGCTTGAGATCTATAAATGTAACCTAAAAATTACTTCTGTTCCCTATTTTGGTCCTCTAGTGTTTTGTTGGGCAGTTTTGACAGTCCTTAGGGTGTATTTCCTAAGAAGCCTTTTGTATTAGAAGGGAATCTGCAGTCTTTTCTAATGTTCTTTGAAGTTAAACCTATACATTGAGTACCATGGAGTGGAAGGTTCCAGACTTTGCATAGCCACCTATTAAATTTTATAAGGCCCCACAGGCCCTCAGTTTTCCCATATGTACAATGCCGTAAGTGGGCTGGGTGGTTCCTAGGTGCTTTTCAGCACTTGTCTGTTCTTTTATACCTAGGAGCCTTCTGATTCCATTGGGGTGGGGCCTTTCTTTCCTGAGTGGCACCATCGCCAGGCCTCAAGATTGGCTTCTGCCATTCTGGAGTACCTGTGGGAGGGAAGACGAGAGGGCAGCAGGCTGGAGAGCTTCACCTGGCCAGGGCCACAAGACTGTTCTCTTACCATCGGGTCCTGGAGAGCTCAGATGTAGAACACTCACGTGTCATGAGCAGAATCCACATGGAGCCTACAGCAAGGAAAGAAAGTACTATAGGGCGCAAGTGCTGGGAGCTGCACTGCTGGCCTCAGTCTCTGTGATGCTTTGGGATGTATAAAGTCTGTTCAGTGACTGTTTCTACTGCCTCTTTCGTGGCTGCTACTTCTAGCTCTCACCATCCTCGCTTGGCTCATGTCTTCTGTAATTGAATTAGTACATTCTCAACAGGTGGACTCTTTCCCTGGTCGTTTCTGCTGAATCCTAGTCTAACTGCCCCCTTCCTAGGGAAGGGCAAGAAGTAGTAAGAAAAGTCCCTGACCTAGACTTCCAAGGCCTTGAGTTCTGAGATATTGCAGGGGGCTCCTGAGAACAGGCCAGAAGTATTCCCATGATCCCAGCTCACCTAGGATGAGACACACAGTGGAAGGAAAACAGGCACAGAGGACAAAGGAGGAAGTACCACAACTACTTCCACTCCCGCTCACCCATCCTGGTTCCCTGGCAGGGGACCTTTATTAAAACAAGATGAATTATTACCTGTGTTCCTTTAAAAGTCTTAGTTAAGATCATGTATTGTCTGTGGAAAATGAAGATTATTTCTCCATTGGGAAGAGCAAGAGAAAATGTTCGTCTGAACATATATGTGTTTTTAGGGTAGATAGCTGGGATGAGGGGGAAGCTGACACAGAGTTTGGTCTCTGAAGATTAGAATGAGTCAAAACGATGAGTCTATGCTTTAACCGGGAGATGGCCACCAGCCCCATGCTGGTGTTGTGCAAGGCCTTGTCACATACACCCCTCATCTCACCCTGCCGTCCTGTGGATGGGGAGTTTTCCTGTTTCACAAATGAAGGCAGCTCGGCAAGGGGGTGTGGATTTCCCGTGGTTAAACACATAGCAGTGAAGGCAGGACTGCCGTGCAGGTAACCAGTGACAAGCCTGCCCCTTGAGATCCCAGCAATCACTTACTGACGCCTGTGTCTTGCAGAACTGCTGGAACTGTGGCCGCAAAGCCAGCGAGACATGCAGTGGCTGCAATATCGCACGGTACTGTGGCTCTTTCTGCCAGCACAAGGACTGGGAGCGGCACCACCGCCTCTGTGGCCAGAACCTGCATGGCCAGAGTCCCCACAGCCAGAGCCGGCCACTGCTTCCTGGGGGTAGGGGCTCAGCCAGGTCTGCCGACTGCAGTGTGCCCAGCCCGGCCCTGGACAAGACCTCGGCAACCACCTCGCGTTCCTCAACACCTGCCTCTGTGACAGCCATTGACACCAACGGACTCTGAGCCCAGATTCCACTTATCCTGGTGACCACTCAGCATGACAGGACACTTGCATCGGGGGGCTGGCTGTGGGAACCAGTGCAAGTAGCTGTTGGTCATCAGCAAGGAATGCAATGGAGGCCGAAGGAGTCCACGGCCTCTCCCGACACTTGTCGTCTGTGTCTCTGTGGAACAAATATGCCAGTCTCTTGGCGCCAGGCAGCTGGCCTGAGCTGCCTCCTCCATGGCTTTCCTGGTTTGTTCCTCTCCCAGACGAAGCTGGCTTAGCCAGGCCCCTTTCGGTGTAGACCACCAGCTCCCCTCCCTGCCTCCTTGAGTCAGCAGACTGTCGAGTATGCCCGGTCTTCATGTGGCAGAGGCCTGGATGCTGGCAGCAGGCTGTAGAGGAGGCCCCCTCAGATGGGGGAGTGGTCCCTCTTATCCTTGAACAGCTCCTTAAGCCCCATTTCCACCCTCGGCAGATGACACCGATTGGCTTCACGGGGACTTGGGCAGGCAAAAAGTGGCTCTCAGGACTCCCTTCTCAACCCTCTTGTTCAGACTTGTTAAGATCAGAATCAATAGGAAAGAAGTCACTATTTCAGTAAAAGCACCCATAACAAGAAAACATAAACTTCTACCAAGCATCACAGATCACTTGGGACAAGATTTTTCAACCTGGCTGGCTACTTTAGTGTGGGACCCATTTTTTTCTCTCTCATTTGATTTTGCTTGTGCAGAAAATTGTTTCCAGCGCATGGATTGGTCTGAGAGAGACTGAGACTCCACCGTGGATAGTCTGTTCTCTCTGAGCATGTTGGCCAAACTAGTATTGTCAAATCATTGAGTGGATCATCTCTTGGAAATGCAAAGCCTTCTGCCACCGCTTGACCATTTGCACAGTCGCCTTGTTCTGTGTCCTTTTATCTCTCAGACTGTGCATGTCTGGATCACACTGGGCATGTTCTGCCATGGGTTCTGTTTGGCACCTGCTAAGCTGCAGTTGTCCCGCTGAATGTGCCGTGGCATGTTGATAGGATTTGCCAAGCCAGTCAAGGCCTGGTCTCATCTGAGCAGCCCTCCTGGACATGAAAGAATTCTACAGACCTCGTAGTTCCATGTCATTATGCCCTCTATGTTGAGTTATTATCAGACACTCAATCTCTATTTCCTTTGTCTTTTGCTATCTTATAGCTTCCCACTTTGAGCCCAAAAAGAGAACCATTTTGGGAAAGCCTGACCAATTTTCCTTCCCATCTTCAGGGGGTTTTCCAGCGACTTACCTGGCTCACCAAACATGACATCACCTATACTCCTTTCAAAATGTTATTCTTCCCTGCCACGTGGGTTTTATTGGAAGCCCGAGGACCCTGACCCACTCTACACCTTCGCGCTTCTGGCAAGGAATCAGTTGGGTTGGAGGGGACTCAGTTGGGTTGGGTTGGTTGGTCCTACGGTGGCTGGCCTTGGGAACCTAGGTCTAGCTCCACCTTCTGTGCACTGACCAGAGTCTGAAATAAAAGCTCTCAGTACCATAAAGCAAAAGGGATTGGCACAGGTAGCCTTATCCTTGCATACAGGTGTATTTTACTTCAAGTCCCTAATTTACCATAACCAAGGATTTTTAGTCTTAACAAAGAAATCCAGTACAAGGCACTTTTTAAATTCCTGGATTTCCATTGCCCAAAGTAAAGTATAACGAGAGAAAGAATAACAGAGAATAATGTTACTTTATCGTAGAATGTGTAAGACCCACAGTTTTCTAGTCAGCCTGATACATTGGGTCCCCTCACCCCCATCAGTTGGTGGGGCAGCCTAACTTTTAACAGAGATGTAGTCAGTACCCCAAACTGCCTCTACGTCGGTTATAACAAGAGGTGTCTCGTACACTGGGTCGGTCCCTGGCTTACTGTTTTTTCATTGATAAGTTGAATGAACACTTCAGCAGATTTTTGGGGGGATTTGTTTTTCTATTTTTTCCAGAGACTGGGTCTGCTCTGTTACCCAGGCTGTAGTGCAGTGGCACAGTCATAGCTCACTGCAACCTCAAACCCCTGTGCTCAAGCAACCCTTCCTCCTCAGCCTCCCAAGTGGCTAGGACTACAGACATATGCCATCACACCCAGGTGATTTTGTATTATTATTACTTTTTATAGAGATGGGATCTTTTTTTTTTAGACAGAGTCTTGCTCTGTTACCCAGGCTATAGTGCCATGGTGTCAGCCTAGCTCACAGCAACCTCAAACTCCTGGGCTCAAGCAATCCTCCTGCCCCAGCCTCCCCAGTAGCTGGGACTACAGGTGCTCACCACCATACCTGGCTAATTTTTCCTATTTTTAGTTGTCTGGCTAATTTCTTCCTATTTTTAGTAGAGATGGGGTCTCGCTCTTGCTGAGGCTGGTCTTGAACTCCTGACCTCAAGCCATCCTCCTGCCTCAGCCTCCCAGAGTGTTAGGATTACAGGCGTGAGCCACCACACCCAGGCAGAGATGGGGTCTTGCTGTGTTGCCCAGACTGTCTTGAACTCCTGGCCTCAAGGTGTCCTCCCACTTTGGCCTCCCCTAAGCAAGTTTTTATAATCTTTAGTGGCCACAAGACGAGCTAGGGTAGCTTGGGTTTTTACTGGTTGGAATAAAGAACCAAAACCAACCAAATAATAATCAGAGTTCAATGTTTGTTTCTACAGGTAAGGTTTAGGTTTAGTGTGCAGAGCCTGGCCTACTTTTATGGGCTGTGGTTCCAGTAACAGTTTTGTTTTCAGAGTCTTTGTAATGCTTTTCTTTTTTTTTTTTTTTTTTGAGACACAAGTAGGCACAACACAAATACCCAGAATAAACACACCTAATTCAAACAGCAACCTCAAAATCCTGACTCTCCCTTTTTTTTTTTTTTTTTTTTTTGAGACACAGTCTCACTCTCTTGCCCGGGCTAGAGTGCCGTGGCATCATCCCACCTCACAGCAACCTCAAACTTCTGGGCTCAAGCGATCCTTCTGCCTCAGCCTCCCAAGCAGCTGGGACTACAGGCATGCACCACCATGCCCAGCTAATTTTTTCTATATATTTTTGTCCGATTAATTTCTTTCTATTTTTAGTACAGACAGGGTCTTGCTCTTGCTCAGGCTGGTTTCGAACTCCTGAGCTCAAACAATCCTCCCGCCTCGGCCTCCCAGAGAGCTAGGATTACAGGCGTGAGCCACCGCGCCCGGCCTGTAATGCTTTTCTAGACTGCTTTGCTTATGTGCTACCCAGAGGCCAATCTGTAAACCTGGGCAATATTCCACACTGAAGATCAGTTCTCAGATCTTTTGCTATGTTAATTCTGGTCAGTTTCACACAGAGGTTGCCAGGGCATCTGTCCATGACTTGCTATTCAGATTTAAAGAATCCCTTTGTCCAGAAACTTTCTGAAATTCTGCAACTCTCTGGTTAGGGGCAGGAGCACCACTGGGGCGGGGTGGGCAGCTAGAGGGGCAGGAGCAAGTCCAGGTTGCCCACATGGTTTCCAGTCTCTGCTGGCGCCATCCCAGCTACCAGGTTGGGAGTGGAAATTCAGGCTCCCCACTGTCATCTACAGTAGGACTTAAAAAATACCTTGATGTGATCAGGCTGCTTAGAGGGCTGGCCTTTATAGTTAATATTTGTGGGGCTGGGGTGGTGGTTCAGAAGGTGTCAGGTCAGTCACAGGCTCTCTGATGTTCAGCTAGAAACCAAGTGCAAATGCGACACCTGAGTGGCCGTCAGTCAGAGCACGTCTGTAGGATAAAACCAGCGTTCAGCATCACCCACTGAGGATCACTGACGAGTGGTGGGACATCGTAGTCTTCTTGCCAAGTGAGGAGTGATTGCAGGAGCCAGCAAAGATGAAAGGTGGCAGATGTTCGTACCTTCCGTTGTCCTCTGGATGCCCACTTGCCTGCAGGACGCCTGACTCCACCCAGGGGTGAAGATGGCCCAGTAAGAAGTTGTTTTAAGCCCACCTGCTGGGGAATAGGCAGCCCTCCTTGAGGCGTGAGCACTCCACCTTGGGGGCTCCCTGCAGCTCAGGACCGGTGCTCTCGCAGATCTGCTCAAGTACAGTCCGGTGACCGTGAGGTCACAGATTAGGTGGATCTTTTCTGAGGTAGTGCTCAGTTACAAATGTCTGTCAAAGCTACCAGCAGGAGTCCACCCCGGCACTGGCTGCTGTCCTCGGCAGCGTGGACTTCCTTTGCCCGTCTGGGCCAGAAGGTCTGCCAGGAGTTCATCGCTTCTTCATAGCAACTAGAAGCATCATCGGTTTCCAGACAGAAAGTCTAAAATTTGCTTTGTACAGCCCTGTCCCAAAGTTGAAGTCATCCCCAGCCCTGTCACCTGCTTGCAAAAGGTGTAGACACTGTTCTGGGTAGTTATAGAAAATATCTCAGCAAGTGTGTTTGAAGGTCCCGCTACACAATGGGAATTACAGTATTGATTTCTTCGGAGTGAAAGCATAAATAATGACCATGTGGCCATTTGTCCTGGAAACTGGAGAAGGGATTATGGATTAAATAAATCACTGAAAATGGAACACATCTTGGAGGCTTTCTTCAGAACTGGACTAGAATCAAGGTTTCCAGGCTTCCAGGTCAGTAGACCAAGCCAACTTCCTTAGTTTTGTTTAGCTGTTTTCAGACAACTGGGTGGTAGCATGTTTGAACCAAATGTAATAAAAGCCAGAAGGACCTGGGCTGTTCCAGCATGGGCCAGATGGCCAGCTGTCTGAGGAGTCCTGCCCGGCTTGTGGTGGGGACCACACGAGCAGCTCAGGCCTTCCTGCTCTTGAGTGTCTGTAGTTCTTGTGAAACCAAAACGTTGACTACCTGCCTCTTTGCCCACAGGCATTGACACGCTCATTTCCAAAGACGATGGTGCAGGTGACCTTTCCCATCACGAGCCAGCAGGTTAGGAGGCCTGAGGGGCAGGCCTGGCGTCCCCCACCTCCCGCTCCACAGCCCGAGAGCTAGAGCTTCCCCTGCAGACCCCTTCTGGTCAGGCCTCCAACTGTCCCGTGTACACTCCCATTGATGCTTATACCAAATAGGGCACGTGCGGCTGGTGTCTGTCAGGGACAGCCCCGACCCTGCCTTGGAGTGGGCAGAGAGAAGCAGCAATAAGCATTAGGTGAATGGTGAACAGACTGCGGCTAAGAGGCCTTGGGTCCACTTACGTGGCTTTCCAAGTTCCTGATGAGGCTACAAAGGCTCCGTTCACAAAAGAAAGCCAATAATGTAAATAAATAAAAAATGAAGCCTCCAAGCGTGGTTTTTAAAAGGGGGATGATGAATGTGAAGCCACCCACAGGATGTGTTAGAGTCTGGTTTTTCTG